AGGTGGGAGTACGGGGAACTCCAGTGAGCCAAAGCAAGTCGTATCACTTGAGCCCGCCATGGCAAAGATGGCGGAAAGGTGGGCCATCCGATGACCAAAAGCGTGAACGTACGATGTCTTCCCCTCGGACGGCGCCAACTGTCGGTGCAGAAAGTGACCAACACATAAATATTTGTAGTTTTACCGTACGTTGTGATCAGATGTGGCCTAACACTCAATGACACAGGGTTTATACTGGTTCAGGCAACATGCCCTACGTCCAGTTTGAGTCGATGGGCGACTTTATTCCTGAGCCCAGGTGCTTGAAGTTTGCTGTGGGGTTACAAACGGAAGGGAGTAAGATGGGGGGTGCAAGAGGTCCGGTCGGACTCTGAACAGAAGGGCCGAGAGTGATGGGAGCTCCTACGTGCGCTAAGTGTTCAAACATCCGTTGTTCGCTGGTGGTTGTTCGAATCGATCGATCCTGGTGGTTAGATTGTCGGGGAGTTGTTGGAGTTGTCCTCTATGTTTTTTGAGATTGACCGTCCTCTATTGGGAGAGAGCGCATCTCCTTTTATAAATGAAGGGGACGGCCTTACAGAGCTAGAGAGAGAGAGTACATCTACTAAGTCTTGTTGCCCACGCCATCGGATACAAGATGATTGTAGGCGCCACAACACTGTTTATGCCAGACGCATGTGGGAGGTTTTACCGCATTCACCTTGTATGGCAAATGACGGCGCCCACAACACTGTTGATGCCCAGAGGCATATGGGGGGGTTTTACCGTGTTCACCTGGTATGGGAATTAATGGCGCCCACAACACTGTAGGGCAAACGTCGGCGCCCACAACACTGCTTGGGTTCTGACATGCCTAGAAGGTGGCAGGGCACCCTTCTGACATGCCCTGTCGGTACTGTGCTGCGGATGTTCAGGGTACAGTCCTTGGTATTACGGTTGACTTGAGCGCCCTGCCTTACTTTTCTGCCCATTTCCTGGGTCCTCACCGAGCGGGCGTCCCCGGTCGGTTGGTCCCAGTCGGCTCCGACTACGCCAGTCAGAGAAAAGCTGTAAGTAGAGGTTCGGTGCATCCCCGATCGGAGACGCAGGTCGGAGTCAGAAGCGGCGTTTGGCCAGGCCTTCTGGTCGGAGAGGCGGGCCGGAGTCAGAAGCGAGCGCCATTCCTCTTTGGCCAGGCCTTTCGACCGGAGAGGCGGGCCAGAGTCGGAAGCGAGCGCCGTTCCTTCTTGGCCAGGCCTTCCGGTCGGAGATTAGATCGCCTTTCTAGCCTGTCGTTAGGTTTTTGGGCCGGCCCAGGAGTTGCGCGTCGATTTGCAACGTCGTCTGCTGGGCTGAGCCTTTGCTGGGAAGCAGGTCCATGAGGGACCCCGGGTTTATGAACCCGACACACCATTAGAATTTGTGATCTTCTTAATTACTAGCTGCATGGAATGACATGTACTGGTATTCCCAGCCTCCACAATTGATTTGATCCGGTTACCTCTTGAGCGGCTTAGAACCAAAACGAATAAATTTTCTTTGCTTCAATTTTTGACTCTTCTTTTCCATGATTGATAATTAGATCCACAAATTATAATCTTTCTTAACATAGTAGTCATGCAAGCTATAATCCCTTCTTTAAAAATATTTTGTTTAACACCAAAATATACCAAGCTGAATAATTTGAGGAGAAAAATGAACTCATCATATGTTGAGTATGTTTTTTTAGTTGAAGCATAGCTTAATAATTATGTTTGTAATCATTCTAATTCACTCCCCCCTCTTTAACACACGGATGCACCTATTCCCTTCACTATGGATGTGTAGTGTCCCGTGCTCACAAATCATAATGTTATATAGCAAACGATGTTAATTGGGAAAATTGGTTTAGCACTGAAAGATCACCAAAATCATAAAATACCATCAAAAGTTCTAGCCAACATAAAATACCACTCAAACGCTCAAACATTAATTTGATTTAAAAGTCCATCAGAAATTTTGCACCGAAAAGGTATTTTATTGACTTTGATGGGTAAAACGACACACAAAATGTCTATTATACCCTCAGCCTTATCCTATCATATCCTATCCTATCCTATCCTATCCATCTCCTTCTAGTGGACTAAAGGTTGTGGATTGACTAGGGACAACTTTTTCCTTGGAGGCATGCGGTGGTCCTTGAAGAGAAAACATTCTCATGAAGTCAATGGTAGATCTCTGGGAAGCACCCATGCTATAGCCTTTATAGGTTCACCAAGAAAAGTAAAACTTGATGACTATGTGCATGATTACTACTCAGTTGAGCGTTTCAAGGCTACTTACCAATTTTTGGTGAACTCAAAGCTAGAAAGGGCCTCTATTAGGCCATGAGTGAAAAGGATCAAGAGTAGGGGGGGAAACAGGGAAAAGGGACCCTTATCAATGCAAAAGATGCTTCCGGTTTGGGCATATTGCAAAGGGTCAGTGAGCCTCCTACTGAACTTGGTGATGAATTACCACCTTTAGTTCCTACCAAGTCCGACTCTAGGTAAATATAAGCTATTGTCTCTTTGGTTTCATTGTTTTAATCGAGTAATGCCTTCAGTACCTTGTTCTTGTGTAGGAAGAGGAAAGGGAATGCAACCAACTCTAATAACACTCCTAAAAATGTCTAAGAAGGCAGCATCAACCAACTCAACTGAACTTGCTGTTTAATTAAATCCATTAGTCCCTACCAAGTCCAAGTCTAGGTAACTTTAAGCTCCTTTCCCTTTGGTTTCATTACCTTCCTGCTGTGTGTTTTGAATAATAATGCCTTCACTATATTCCTGTTGTGTAGTAAGAGGAAAGCAAAGGATATGACAAAGCTCAGTAAAGTTCTTAAGAAGTCCAAGAAGGCATCTGCATCAACCTCTACTTCTTTGGCCACACTATCACCTGTTAATCCTAGGCCATCAACAAGAAGGATGGCAACAGCTACTTCCACTCCAGTAGTCTAGGGCCTGCTACTAGGAGCAAGGCAGCATCACAAGACATATCTCCAAGAGGCATTGCTTGAAGGCTCATCATTAATTATGCTAGGATTTGTTAGGCCAGAGACTATATGTGCGGCACTGTTATGTGCTAGTTTGATGGAAATTAGAACTTGTGCTATGTCTTGAACTCATGGTGTTATGTGTACTGGAACTATCTTTTGTTATGTGCACTGGAACATATACGTGGTGTGTTGGAGCTAATGTTTGTGCAATATGGTTGCTGAAATGAATGATGTATTGTTTTGTATGTGTTAACATGCTAAAAAGGAACATGCAATGGATGGATTATTGCCCTGTATGTGTTCATTTTTTTTGGTGAGATAGCATTTTTTTAATCATATATGTGCTCAAACATGTCAAATACATGTTCACGGCATACTGAGTTTTAAATGAACGGTTCAGGGGTATTTCTGTCTTAATTGACATCGTCAACTTGAAAAGGTAACAAGGTGCTAGAATTGGACAGTTGTCGGATCTTTTAGTGGTATTTTATGTTGGTTGTAACTTTCGATGGCATTTTATGATTTTGGAGATCTCTAGTGCTGTAGAACCAATTTTTCCAAATCTTTTTTGCTTGTCGTTTGGTGAGTTAGACAATGATAGTCTTTTTTAATTTGATTTCCTATCTATTCTTTCAGCCTTAAAAATCACATTAAATCTAATTATTAAAGTCCTTGATTATTCTATGTTCCAACTTCCAAACATCTTCTCTGGCATGAATACCTCATTTTATGTCATTGCAAATTGCAAGTACTAATATAGGGTACGCCTTTTGGCAAGTACTAATATAGTTTTTTTTACCTTTCTTTTCTTTTCTTTTCTTTATATAGTGCGCGTGCTTCTGTTCTTTCAGTTCCAAACCTCATGTTGTTCCCAACCAAATAAGCTACTTCCATGGTACAAACGCGTCAGGCGTCACACACTCACACTTGATCACAAGTGAGAGGCTGGCCCTGCCTCTGAGATGTGGCGAGTTGCCGTCTAGTCACTGAACAATTTGCTACGGAACAGGAAACAAGATTTACTCAACTGTCTGTCTGTCTCCAGTCTTCACCTGAACAGCTGACCTAAGTTGGCAAACTAGCTTCATGCCTCACATGAATTGGGTGCAATGTTCCAATCGTTCTAGAGTACTCAAGAGGCCAAAATTTAGACAATGTGCTGCGGTTGGGACTAAGCTCTACGGTTGCGAAGTCATCTCTTGATGATCCAGCACGACACTCAAACTGCGCGCTTCACTTTGGTCTGGCTTCTATAACATTTGAGTAAGCAGGATAGGTGCAAAGACATGGACTCGCAAGCATGCGGTCAAATCTCATGTATTCTATCAGTTGTTTGGTGAGTCTTTAGTCTTAACACATGAAGGCAGGAGCGCAAAAAGATAACGCGTAAATCTAATCTCTAATCTCTGATGTGAGCATGCACACCAGCATCATCATGCTAGTACATGGCAAAGCAGAGACGTAGGTCAGAGGGTTCCAAAAATACAGCAGAGCCCAGCGACTTGTGCAGCCAGCCAGTGCCCCTCCTGCGATGGCAACTCCGTGACCTGCAAGCTAGATGACCCTGTCATCAATCATCAGCGTGCGGGATCAGTATGAGATCCGCATCACGCCACCAACCCGCAATTAAACAGGCAAAACATTTAGCTCAGATGTATGCAGGTGTACTACGAGAAGTGTTTTTCTAGGTGCTGTTGCCGTATAGCTTTGCTTCAAGAGCTGCCCAAGTGACCGTAACGTTCGTGTGATCCTGTCCCAGTAAGATGCGCGGCCGAAACTTCCACGGCCCAAGTACGCAGCTCCCCGCCTCCCCGAATCCATATCCTCACCAAGCACATGCTCTGCTTGCTCACACACACGTCCAACCACTGCAAGCTTGTATAAATAGCCCTGCCGGCCGGCGCTCACCGGAAAGAGACCAAACATTTCGTGCTCTGCCAGTCTGCCTATCCATTTCTTTCCCGCACACCACACACGCCGAGACGCGCAAAACGAACACCAGTGGATGGCATCCGTTCTCGCCTTCTCTCGGTGTTCGCTGCTGCTTGTCCTCCTGCTGGCGACGGCGTCACAGGCCCTCAACGTCGGCGACCTGCTCGGGACAGCGCCTTCGGTAAGGCACCAGAGTGGCCATGGCGAGCCGAGTCTGAACTTTTGCAAGTGCTTTTATTTGGACTTTGGAGCTGATCGGTTCTGACCACCACGCATGGACTTGTTGCTTTCCACAGGGGAGCCAGGATTGTAGCCGGACGTGCGAATCATCGTTCTGCATAGGTAAGCAAGTCACAAACACACAACCCTGGCGATCTGTAATTCGTGGGCTCTGTTTGGGGGGTTTCGACAGTTTCACAGAAGCTAGTCCTGTTCAGCTATTCTTCAGGAAAGCAAAAATGAGTTGTATTTGCCATGAGCGGACAGAACTTGCGTAGCCTACAATTTTTCTGGCGGACAAGCTTACCTGAAGCAGGCTGCTTTTCAGCTTTCATCAGTCCTTCTGAGGTACGGGAAAAAGGGTACTGATTCGCTTTTTTTTTTTTGTCCATCCACCCTGTCCCTGATAATGAAAGTCCCGCCGCTGCTGAGGTACGGGAAGTACTGCGGGATCCTGTACAGCGGCTGCCCCGGCGAGAAGCCCTGCGACGCCCTCGACGCCTGCTGCATGGTCCACGACCACTGCGTCGCCACCCACGACAGTACGCACTCGATCACTCTCCCAACTCTGCATTTTCGATCAATTCTTCGTCCTTCTTCTGAAAACAGAAAGACCAGAGCAGGGCTAAACGGAACAATGGTTAGGTCCCGGCCGCACGCCAGGTGTTCGCGAGCTGACACGCCACCTAACACGATCAGAACACAATCTGAAACCAGTACAAGGCTACCAGATAAGATTAGACTAAGCACAAGCATGCGGTGCACCGTCCACCGGCCTGCCCTTGTCACGCCTAAACTCGCATGTTCCCGCGCAAGGCCAACCGACATGTGCCGGCGCGGCACGGTGGCGTCGCTTGCACGCGTCGGTGCGCATGATTGCGTCGAGCCCCGTATCTGATCTCTCCCCCGGCCCAGTCGTCGACTCGAGCGCGCGCACTCGAGCGAGCGCACTGAGTGAGTGTACGAGTGGTGGTTCCGGCATACATGTGTCGCCACGCCTCGTCGTGTCGTCTAGTTCGTGCGAGTTCCGCTTTTTGCCGTTGACTACCCGCTGCTGATCGACTTTTTTTTTTTGCCGGCCGCAGATGACTACCTGAACACGCGGTGCAACGAGAACCTGCTGAGGTGCCTCGACAGGGTGAGCCCGGAGGGGCCGACGTTCCCGGGGAACGAGTGCGGCGTCGGCCAGACGGCGTCCGTCATACGTGGCGTCATCGAGTCGGCAGTGCTCGCGGGCAAGATCCTTCACAAGCGCGACGACGGCCAGTAGCCGGCGTTTCTTGGCAGGAGCGTGCGGTTGGTACTAGGAACACACGTAGTTGTTGCGAGCAGAGCAATAAAGCCGCACGCGCGCGCGTGGGCGCGAGGCGCCCGGCCGTGGCGGTGCGGCAAGGCAGCATGTGCTGGATTTGAAGGTCATGGACAGCCGGACCACCGTGGCATGTGGCTGCCTTCAGTGTATGCATATACGTACATATAGTATTGATTATTAGTAGTTTTTGATTGGTGGGATTCCGAGCAAAGTGGCAAAGGTTGTAAGTTGTAATAATGTTCTTGTACGTTCCTTTAGCAAGTAGTAGTGGACAGAATCACAGAATACAACAAGATTCGGTCATTAACAGCCCAATTTCCGTGTTGTCCGGCGTCAAGTGCAACTCTTGAACTGGATGTTGTACGTCGATTTTGATGTGTACTCACGGGTGGCGGTCCGCTTCCAAGTGATGGAGTCGTCTTCATCAATGAGCTGCACATTCTTAACTAAGCCCCCAAGTTTGAACAAATTCCGCCATCCTCCAAAGGCCTCTTGTCTAGCTTTGCTTTAGCAAAATTGCGACTTGGCGGCTTGGTGTAGAGGTTTTTCGCCAGGCTAAGGAATAAAGGTTAAGGGCAGTGTCAATTGGTGCACCACCATCCAACCATGGGTCTCGGAGGAGTAGCAAAGGGCAAAAGGGAGTTCAAAGTCAGAAGTGTTTTTTAGGTGAGTGATCTTCAACAGTGTGCGTGTGATCCCCCGCGATGCTGGCCGAACCCTAGGCCCCGACCCACGGCCTCTCCACCACCGACGCCGGCCGCCACTCCGGCACCGGCGGGCCCCGCCCCCACCTCCCCCTCCCCTCCCCATGCCCGACACCTCCAAACCCTTGGAGGCCCCACCCACTGCCTCACCTCCGCCGCCAGCCACCACTCCGGCGCCGGAGCCCCGCACCCCCATCTCCCACTCCCCTCCCCTCCCCACGCCTAACAACCCCGCCGCTAGAGTGCCTGTGCGGGAGCCCTGCCTGCCCGAGACGACGCCGACGCTGGGCACCGCCGACGCCTGCAGCTACACCTTCGTGGCCTCCACCGCGAGATCCGGCATGGGGGCACCTCCGCGGGCTCCCTCCCTACCGCCGATGCCGGGATTCGCCTCTGCGGCCACATCCCCATCGTCGATGACGCCGGGCCACCACGCCACGGCCACCACCTCCACCAAATCCGTGGATGTGGACGCCCTTGGCTGCACGTGGATGTTGGACCTAGCGGGCACACGTCGATCACGACGCCATCGACACAACGGCCGACGAGTCCATCTCGGCCCACTCCGGTGGGTCCCGTCGCAAACATCGGCGGCCAGGAAGACGAGCAGCCGCCGACGGCCATGGAGGGGGCCGCGGCACCCTAGCCACTGCTACAGTAGCAGCCGGCGCCGGGCAGCCCAGGCGGGGACGGATCTCAAGCCACGCGGCCTGCTTCTGTGTCCGCGTCCTTCGAGGTCAATGGCATGCCGCAGGTAGCGCAGACGTTCGCCCTTGAGTCTGCCATCGACCCCCTCGACGCCTTCCTCGTCGACCCGTCTGGGCTTCAGGATGATGGACGCTGGAACAAGAGCAGCTCATCCCCGAGGTCGTCGTTCTCCCTTTCCCCCCATGCAGTTCCCTTCCAGCCTGGGGAAAATTCGGTGGGGCGTTCCAAGGCCCGTCGCTGGGCGGACGATGATCTCGACAACTCTGATGTGGAAGAGTCGCCAACCGTCTACCCAAGCACCTACCTCGACGTGGTTCTTCGTGAGCCGCAGGCACCTAGGACGTCACCGTCACCTGCGAGAGAACGGCCACGCTCCATGATCGTTGTTGGCGCTTTGTGGCCGTGCTGCCGGTCAGGCATGTGCTGGCCATCGACGCGAGCGCAACACCCACCATCGACCATGCCCGTAGCTCATTCATGGACTTTCCGTCCGAGGCAAGGAAACGGCATCCGGACATGATCGCGAGCAATGTGTACCGGCTCACATGCGGCTCGGTCCACGCTGCGGCGCTCGCCAGCGGATCTCCGCTCCGGATGCTGACGGCTGGCGTGAGGTCCTGTCGCAAGGGTCGTCATGCGGCACCGGCGAGGCACGCCCCGCCTGCACTGCACCTTCGGCGAACTGGCGTCCCCCTACCCGCTATCCAGCGGACCTACATGGGAAATCCTTCGACTATCTCTCCTCTACGCACAGGGTGGCTACCTGCAAGCTGCCTCCCCGCTGCCTCCGATGCAAGGGGTTTCGACACCTCGCGCGGGACTGTAAGTGGCGGTGGACGGGGCCTCCTTCCAGCTCCGGCACATCTGGTGCCACAGAAAACCGGCCACGACGACCTAACCGAGAGTGTACCTCGGGCACCCAGCCGCGTACTCAGGGCGACACGCCGAACTTGGCTGGAGCTATGCTGGGTGCGGCTGTTGCTGCGCCGTGTGTGACTACACGCGGCGGCAGTGGGTGCCGACGTCAACGACGACTAAAGGGGGACGGCACCGCTGCGGCAACGAGTGTCGCCACTGACAGTCGCGGTCGGTCGGCAGGGGCCGCCCAAACGGCATCGGACTTCACCTCGGACGCTGTTGGAGCTCAGGCAGGACACAGTGAGCTAGCCAACGAGACGGGCTTCATCGAGCCCAACCCGTTGACACTGATGTTGTACCCAAACGCCACACATGATCGCGACATCACGGAAGACCCAATGCTAGAGGAGTTCATAGCCTCGCTTGTCATCAGTCGGTTCATTGCGTGTCCTTCCCTTGAGCGCCTGTTGTCACCTTCGGCGCACCTAGCTACAAGATGAGGCCCTGGCGGTGGCGGCCCCTAGCTGGATGATGAGGATCGAACCCAGCGGCGGTCTCCTGCGAGCTGCGGACACCACCACCGCGCCCCATTCAGTGGGCAATGGACTCGTCGAAGACACACACGGAGCTCAACTGCTCGCTAGGCTTCGGACCAGTCGACCTCACGGTGGATGCCGACCCTCCCAGTTCACCGCCGGTGGATACCCACCAGACTATGGACAACGACGGCTCCGCCAAACGCCGCCTCGATAGCTTCATCAACAAAGTGACGCGTAATAGGGACTCTCCGCTGATTCGTGAGCCTCCCAAGCCTGCTAAGTGGGGTGCTGCCGTGGCGGAGCAGGCGGTTGGCGGCTCAGAGCCTCTCCCGAGTACCTGCTTCCAAGCGAGGAGAGGTGCTGATCATGCAGCGAATGGGCTACACCAAGGGTCTATCAGCACCATCCGCGTCGTTGTCGGAGGCCTTTGACAAGCTCTTCAACAGTAACCTGACTGCGTCCAACGCTAAGGCGATGGATGCGCTATTCCTGGCCGTTGGAAAGGGCTCGTCCAAGCAGTCGCGAAGACGCAAGGCCACCTCTTAGGTCGCACGCTGCGTCGGTATTGGTTGTTTCCTTTTATGTGTTATCGAAACAAGAGGTCTTTTTCTAGGATAGTCCAGCTACGGTTGTATTAGGTCGACCTCCTTCGGCACTCGACAGAAGCGAGTTGTATGTTTGCTTAAACTCTTCTACTTAATACAATGATACACAAATCTTTTGCGTATTCGAGAGAAAAAAAACCATAGGTCTCGCCAAAACTTCGCCTTATCTCCTCGTCGGACCTTGACTGAAGTGTTAGCCCTGGCATCACAAGAAGACTGGGTTCCAATCCATGGCCTTGTGTTGTTGATCCATTCAAACCACAGCCATCTAGGATACAAGACATGACTGAATCTCTATGGGACCGTTTGGATCCCTTCATTTTGAAGGAATTGAAATCTATATAATGGATTAGGCTATTTAGTTTGGAATTTGACATTCCATGCCATTCCTAAGCTCACAAATAAACCTATCTCAAATTCATAGGGTGAGAGATGAAAATGGATTCTATAGATCACTATGTTATAATTCTATTCTTCAACCCACTTCCCTGCAATAAAAATACAAAATATAAGCATGTCCCTTGTATGCCTAACAACAAATATACAAATATTATTTATATATATATATATATATATTAGCTTAATTAATCTATACCTAAATTATAATTATTAGAATGAATTCAATTCCCAGGATCGCCCTAAATGTCAAGAATGCCTAAGCGCCCAAGAACCTTTGATCTTGAGGCTTTGGATGGTGCACTAATCACTGTCCTCCGTTGGCGTTGTCTGATCCTTTCCAGGAAATATCTCCTCATCTTATCAATTATTTTGTTTGCTCATTTTTTGAGTGAAAAACTGTTAGAAAGTGCACAGGGATAGTCGTGAGCATCATTTTAATTAGTTAGTGTGAGTCTGCATGCTTATCCAGCAGCTTGCCTTTTCAAGTTTTTTTTTATATGAAACTTGCCTTTTCAAGTTGGAAGCTTTGATCCAATTTTATCAAATGTCAACATGGCGCAATGGCTTGATGCGTAACAGTAAACCAAGATACTTGCAGGGAAAAGATTTTTCTTCACACGGGAAAGGCTCCATGATGAAGTCCAAGTCAAGTCCCTGGTATTGTATTGGGTAATCAACACTCTTTGTGTAGGTTTGTTACGAGCCCCAAGACCTCTCCAAAAGATATCTAGGAGTAGCTTTGTGGTGTGAATGTCTTCACGTGAGGGGTTGATAAAAATCGCTGCATCATCCGCACACAAGCTTAGCCTCAATTTAACTCCTGTGTGTTGCACAGCAGACAGGGTACCATGTTGTGCAGCGAGCTCAAAAAGTTTTTTGTAGGAGTTCAAGTGCAAAAATAAAGAGCAAAGTAGTTGTGGCAGCCGTTGAGAGCAGGATGGACACCCAATCTCTCCACCTGTTTCCAAAACCTATCCTCTGCAAAACTTCCATAAGAAAATCCCAGCTCACCGAGGCTAAGGCTGCAACTACAGTAAATTGTGAGAGGACATTTTTGCAGCTGCAGATAAGCGCAGCACAGCCGACCACAACCATTTTTCATATCATAGGTGATGTTTAAATCTAGAGAGTAAAGTTTAGAGATG